ATGTACAATAGGTTCTCTTCCTTCTCTCTCCCTAACTTTCTTTCTAAAACTCTTCACCAAATATACCATCTCTATGGTTCTGTGTAGTTCTTTGAGATAAATGTTCTAGAACGTCAGGTGTTATATTTCCATCAGCCATGTTCATTTCATACTGGTCCAAAATATCTGCATCTTTCATATCTTTCAATGGCATTAAAGCCGCGCTTAAAATACCAGCTATATCTGGTTCACCATTGACTTCCATTGCGTCTACAACTTCTTGGAATTGAGGTTGTAAGTTTATGAACCACCTATCCGGGTTAGCTTTATGACCCCATCTCATTGTAGTTCCATCGTCTGCAGAAAACAAAAGTAGGTTTGTTTCCATCTTGGTTAGGTTCTGAATGAACTTTAAACAATGTTTCATTTCTATATGTTTTCTTGAAATTTAACCTTTTATCTTCACCGAGTTCATCCGAAGATTGAACGTTAAATGCTCGTAAGTAAAAAGGGTTGTTGTATTTGTGTACATTTTCTTTCAGTACTTCCATTCTATGCTGAATATTTTCATCTGGTGTTGGAGTCTTTTGTATGTCGGCAAACATTTTTCGATATTCTTCTACTATGTCAGCTGAATTTTTTTTTGACTCTTGGAAAGATTCCATATTCTCCGCATACTCTTGTTGAGGGTCAAGATTTTTCGGCTGTTCCAAATCTTCATCTAGTTCTGTGAAGTTAGTTTCCAAAGGAGGGACTTGTTCGTTTCCTTCAGGCTCTTCTAGCTGTTGTTGCTGAACTATTTCTTCCATGTCTGGTTGTATCTGAACTTCTTCCTGTGGAGTTTCTTGTACCTCATCTGCTGGCATTTCATATATTCCGAGACCGTTTTCAACAATTTCCCTATCTACGTCATCCGCATTCATAAGCTTTTGTTCTTTCGTTCCGTCTCTATTTTTTACGCGTTTCATGACGAAAGTTGAATTGTCATTTAGCTCTGACATCAAATATCTCGGAGTAAATTCATCCATGTCATTTGGATGATATGCTATTAAATCATATCCCTTAGCGAGCTTGTATTTTCCAGGTTTGAGATTATATCCGTTTTGGTGCTGAGCCATAAAGCTAAATAGGTTCGGGTCAGTATTTCCATCCTTGAACTTTCCAATAGCTTCTTTATATCTGTCACTAAAGTCAATACTATCTGGGAAACCACACTCTTCTTTAAGCATTTTTAAGAATTCTTGGTTTCCTTGTTCTCTACTTCTTTTATGTCCTTGCTCTGTTTGTGGTTGTTGTTGTGCAGGGTTTTGAACTGTTGGTTGCTGTGCAGTGTTTTGAACTGTTGGTTGTGGTGCAGTGTTTTGAACTGTTGGTTGTTGTGTTGGTTGTTGTGTTTGGTTTTTGGTGCATGCCTGTGTCTGTGTCCATGTGACGATGTAAATGTTTTAGGTAGTCCTGGTGCAGGTGCTTCTCTTGGAGGGTTTGGTGGTATATAAGTTCCACCAGCTGGCACATATGTTCCATCTGCAGCGTAATGTCCTACTGATTTTCGTTTTTAAGAAAGCATTTACTAGGTCTGTTTTGGTCTGTTGTAACTCTTTTTCTTGACTTTTCACAACAGTTGCTCTAACGGCGTCATAGGCACTTTGAACTGCCTGTCTCGTTGCTGCATCTGTTATTTTCGTCATATTTTGTGCTACTTCTTTTAACTCTTTGTCGAAACCTTCAGACTTCAGTTTCTTTCCAGATGAGAAGTCGTTCACTTGTTTCACCTTACTATGAAGAGCTTCGAAGGCGTTCTTAAAGTCAGCATTTGTTAAAGCTTCATTTGAACTGTCTTCATCCGCTTGTATTTTTGTCCTTATTGACCCTATAAGTTGGGCTGCTTTAGCGTTGGCTTGGGCATCTAACCAGTCATTATTAGCTTTTATATATTCTGCGCTTTTCATTGCCTTTTGCATGGCTGCGTCGTTATTTTTACTTTCTTGTGCTAAGTTTTCATACTGTACGGTTTGGTTTTGCAACTGTAAAAGTTTTTCTGCCTTTACATTTGCTTCAACTTCTTTTTTATACTCATCGCTATCCATATATGTCTTCAGGGCTTTTTGTTTTATTTCTTCATCTTTCAGTACTTTATATTGAGTAGTATGGTTTTTTTCAAATTTATAACATCTTGTTCCATTTTTGCTACTTCTGCTGCTTTTTCTGACACTTTTTTCGCATATTCCTCTGTACTTAGTTCTTTCAGTTGTTCTTCTTTCTTCTTTTTCTCTACGTTTAACTCATTGAGTTTCTTTGTGTGTCTGTCATATTCTAGTTTCTTTTCGTTTTCACTTATTTGTTTCTGTATGTCTATGTTTGACTTTTTGACATCTGCTATTTGATTTTTGAGTGAACTCAAATTCATTTGACTTTGAGGTTATAAGCTGTTCGTCCTGCAGCTCCACCATAGCCTGCCATTTTCGCTAAAAGTGCCGCTCTTAAACCTCCACTCTGTGCACCAATAACTCGGTTTAAAAGCATAGGGTTGCTTGACATTTGTTGCAACATAGTGGGGTCATTCATAATTTGTTGTTGCAACTGTTGTTGTGGTGTTAGTTTTACTATTGGATGTTTCAATGCTCTCTTCCTCTTACGTATATTCTTACGTAGCTTACGTGGCATTTTAAGTGAAGTTAAAAAGAGGCTTTTGACAGATGTTTATTGTGACTTCTTCGTAAAGACTTTGTTGAGATTTCTTCGTAAATGAGTGTAAATGACCCAAAAATATATTTTAGGTGAAGAGGTGAGATTTCACCTCTTTTTTCACCTCATTTCTCACCTCTTGAATTTTCATGAATTTCTTCGTAAAGACTTTGTTAAGACTTCTTCATCTAATTTCTCATGAACTTCTTGTCTATGTTTGTCAAGATTTCATCGTAAAGACTTTGTTGAGATTTTCTTCGTAAATGACCCTAGTAGTATATTTTTGGTGTAAATTTCATGAAAATTCAAAGAGGGTGAAAAATTAGGTGAAAAAACAGGTGAAATCTCACCTCTTCACCTAAACATTATTTTTTGGTGTAAAATTCATGAAAATTCAAGAGGGTGAAAAATTAGGTGAAAAAACAGGTGAAATCTCACCTCTTCACCTAAACATTATTTTTGGTGTAAATTCATGAAAATTCAAGAGGGTGAAAAATTAGGTGAAAAAACAGGTGAAAATCTCACCTCTTCACCTAAACATTATTTTTGTTGTAAAATTCATGAAAATTCAAGAGGGTGAAAAATTAGGTGAAAAAACAGGTGAATCATCTCACCTCTTCACCTAAACATTATTTTTGGTGTAAAATTCATGAAAATTCAAGAGGGTGAAAAATTAGGTGAAAAAACAGGTGAAATCTCACCTCTTCACCTAAACATTATTTTTGGTGTTAAAATTCATGAAAATTCAAAGAGGGTGAAAAATTAGGGTGAAAAAAAACAGTGTGAAATCTCACCTCTTCACCTAAACATTATTTTTTGTCTGATTTTACGAAGAAGTTTGACAAAACATTTACGTTCATGTTTGACAAAACATTTACGAAGAAGTCTTGACAAAACATTTACGAAGAAGTCTTGACAAAACATTTACGAAGAAGTCTTGACAAAACATTTACGAAGAAGTCTTGACAAAACATTTACGAAAAGTCTTGACAAAACATTTACGAAGAAGTCTTGACAAAACATTTACGAAGAAGTCTTGACAAAACATTTACGAAGAAGTCTTGACAAAACATTTACGAAGAAGTCTTGACAAAACATGTACGAAGAAGTCTTGACAAAACATTTACGAAGAAGTCTTGACAAAACATTTACGAAGAAGTCTTGACAAAACATTTACGTTCATGTTTGACAAAACATTTACGAAGAAGTCTTGACAAAACATTTACGAAGAAGTCTTGACAAAACATTTACGAAGAAGTCTTGACAAAACATGAAAACATATATAATTTGTGAAAAGCGACACATTATATATAATGTTTTCGACCCAGAAGACTAACAATTTTCCGAATAAAAACTTCATTTATACTAAACATCAACATCAGGGCTAGAAGGCACGAAGTGCCTGGAAGCCCCACTACCTTTTTTTTTTTTTTTTTTTTTTTTTTTTTTGAAATCCTCCAAAAATTCTTCGAAATGTTCTAAAATATAACCCGGAGAATTATAACAAAATTCATTAATTTCTAACATATACGTATCTAACAATTCATTTGGAATTTCAAACGATCTTAAATATGTAATTGAATTTTGTATCTTCTCATTTATTTGAGAAAGTTTTTCTTCAGCATTTTCCAAGTTTTTGAACTTTCTTGAGGGAATTAAAGGGTGAGAGATTTATAGTCTATCTATATATCTCCCACCCTCTAATTCCCTCCCTGACAGCGGGAAACTTTGTCTGAATGTTAAACTATTCAGACAAAGTTTCCCACTGTTTGCGAAGGAATTGTTGGCTATGATGTACTGATTCATGATCAGTACATCATAGCCAACAATTCCTTATATAAAGTTCAAAAACTTGGGTGCAATCAGAACTGATTGCACCCAAGTTTTTGAACTTTCTTGAGGGAATAGAAGAGTAAGCGGTATACATTATGAATATATACCTCTTACCCTTCCATTCCTCTCTGACAGCGGAAAACTTGTGTCTGAATGTTAAACTATTCAGACAAAGTTTCCCGCTGTCAGCGAAAGAATTGTTCCATCTGGTGCATAGAGTGTGAATCTATGCACCAAATGGAGCAAGTCCCTCGCGAAATTGCCCAAACTTGCGTCGCATTTCAAAGATTGCGACCCAAATTTTGGCGATTTCTAGTAGAGATGGAGTATTTTGAGTTACTGACCTATATGCAGTGGCTCAAAGGGCTCCATCTCTACTTTGAAGCAAGGAAACTTTCCTCGAAATTTTGATAATTTGAAGAAAGTTTTCAAGCAATTAACAAAGGATTACTCGCTATGAGGTAAAAATTCTAGATTTTCACCTCATAGCGAGAGCTTCCCTTTCATTGCTTGAAAACTTTCCCCAGCTTCAAAATTGGGGAAAGGGCTGTAAAGTCGACTCCGATACCAGCAGGTACCAGAGTATTTAAAAGAGAAGCCCTCGTACGAGTTTCTATGAAGACCTTCTCATTCAAGAAGATCTGAATAGAAAATCGTACGAGGGCATTGGAAACTCGCGTCTGGTACATGTTAGTACCAGAGTGTTTGAGATTTGAAGACTCTGGTACTAACATGTACCAGAATTTATGATGAATTTAAGATGGACCATTATAAAATGGTAGCGGTTTGTTTCAAAAAAATTAGATGAGATTTGCATAGATATAGATTATATGATTTATACATATGAAAAATAATATATAAAAATATAATTTTGAGATAATTATGTAAATAATATTTTAAATATTTGAATTTGAGGTATAATTTTATAGTAAAATATATTCTAAAGAGTATTTATATAAATATTGTAAAATAATATAAGTAATAAAAATTGAGACCTCCTCCCTGTTTTTGATGTTTTGTCACTTTTTCGGTAATTCTTATTGTTTCGACAAGTCTTGTATTTTTTCAGAACAAGTCTTGTATTTTTTCAGAACAAGTCTTGTATTTTTTCAGAACAAGTCTTGTATTTTTTCAAGACAAATCTTGTTCTGAATCAGGACAAGACTTGCACTTTTTAGTCAGTTTTTCTTGTAAAGTTCTCAAATTTGAGAACAATTGTCCTGATTCAAGACAAGTCTTGTATTTTTTCAGAACAAGTCTTGTATTTTTTCAGAACAAGTCTTGTATTTTTTCAAGACAAATCTTGTATTTTTTCAAGACAAATCTTGCACTTTTTCAGGAAATCCTATCGTCCAACTTTACAAATGTCACTTTTTCAACATGATTGCATTTTGGTCGGGGAACAACTTTCTCTCATTTTGTCACTTTTCTATCGTTGTGTTTTGTCACTTTTCCCTCGGGTGTGTGTCAGAAAATATCCAAAATCTTTATAGCCTCGTATCTCCTTCAATTCTTGACGGTTTGACATGTATGACACACCATTCAATTCAGAATTATGTGCTGAATCTTATGACCTTCATTTGTTCGTGACTTCTTTTCACATATGTAACCCTGAATTTTTAACATTTCTTTAACACAGAAAAATAAAGTTAGTTTTATTTTTATTTATTTTTTTATTTTGTATGTAAAGACAGTAATGTCAACATTAGAGAACACAACAACTGCTATCGTTCATGAAGCCATAAATGAAGAATACGAATACATACAATATAACAAACAACTTCGCCTCATTCGTTCGGTCAAAGATGACATGTACCAAATGCAAAGTATAATGAATGCTCTTCGTTCTACAAAGCAAGCATATCATTGGTTTGAAAACCAACAGACAAAAGAACTTTTAGAAGAATTTCCTCATATGATTGCTTCCCTCGGAAAACCGAGAGAAGAGATTCCGTACGAAAATCGCAAGAATTTGGCTCCTGGTTTGAAAGGTTATTATGTTCATAGACTTTTAGTAAACGCTGTAGCAATGTGGGCTTCACCTCGTTATGCTTGTTATATTTTCATGATGTTAGATGAACTATATAAAGCAGAACGTGGAGAGATGGAAAAGAAACTTCAAGCAAAAGATGAAGTCATTGAATCCAAAGACAAAAGCATACAGAAAAGAATACCACGTTCAGTACCAAAAGGAAAGGAAAAGAGTTATAAGTATATGATTTACGCTGAAGAGTTGGAGAAAGAAGAAGATAAAGATATGGTTATGTTGCATTTAGTGAGAAGAAACAACAAGAGCTTTTATGACTTAGCTAAGATATATAAATCTGATAGAAACTGGTTCTATCGTGAAAACTTACCGATTTCAATGACACCGAATGAGCAAATAAAGAAAATTGTCAAAAATACTCTTCCTCAAACACACTATGACATCAAAGGTTGCACAATACTTACATTTAAAGAAGACTTAACATTACTGAAGGAAAAAATAACAGAATATTTCGACAACTTCAAAGAGGAAGAATGAAAACTTACCGATTTCAATGAAAAACATTAACTTTTTGACGAAGTGAAGATTTGCACTTTGACAAAATTTAATGAAAAACATTAACTTTTTGACGAAGTGAAGATTTGCACTTTGACAAAATTTAACCAAAAACATTAATTTTTTGACGAAGTGAAGATTTGCACTTTGACAAAATTTAATGAAAAACATTAACTTTTTGACGAAGTGAAGATTTGCACTTTGACAAAATTTAACCAAAAACATTAACTTTTTGACGAAGTGAAGATTTGCACTTTGACAAAATTTAATGAAAAACATTAACTTTTTGACGAAGTGAAGATTTGCACTTTGACAAAATTTAACCAAAAACATTAACTTTTTGACGAAGTGAAGATTTGCACTTTGACAAAATTTAATGAAAAAGTTAATGAAAACTTACCGATTTCAATGACACCGAATGAGCAAATAAAGAAAATTGTCAAAAATACTCTTCCTCAAACACACTATGACATCAAAGGTTGCACAATACTTACATTTAAAGAAGACTTAACATTACTGAAGGAAAAAATAACAGAATATTTCGACAACTTCAAAGAGGAAGAATGAAAACTTACCGATTTCAATGAAAAACATTAACTTTTTGACGAAGTGAAGATTTGCACTTTGACAAAATTTAATGAAAAACATTAACTTTTTGACGAAGTGAAGATTTGCACTTTGACAAAATTTAACCAAAAACATTAACTTTTTGACGAAGTGAAGATTTGCACTTTGACAAAATTTAATGAAAAACATTAACTTTTTGACGAAGTGAAGATTTGCACTTTGACAAAATTTAACCAAAAACATTAACTTTTTGACGAAGTGAAGATTTGCACTTTGACAAAATTTAATGAAAAAGTTAATGAAAACTTACCGATTTCAATGAAAAACATTAACGTAAACATTAATGATAAAATTTATTTCCTGGACTGTTGTCAAAATGTCATGTTGTCATCATTTTTAAAAGAAGTTAATTAACCTGGTAGCACATGGTGACGTGGTGACACTTTCAGTTATTCAAAAATATATTTTTGCTTAAATAGCTTCAGGGTCTATTTCTTCAACCATTTCACTTCCTTCGTCAATGTCAATAGAAGCTTCTTCAACCTTTGGTAAGAATTTCTGTATAACATCTTTGTTCGTTATTGTCTTCAGAGATGAAGGATAATATTTCACATTTGTTTCACCTTTCTTATATTCTTTCTGTTCGGAAAGATTCATAGCAATACTGAAGAAGTCAATGTTAGAGTTCTTTATGACAGTATAATGAGTATCTTTGACATTCACGAAGAAACTCTTTTGTTTCAAAACTACTGCTAACTCTTGTGAAGTATAACGTTTGCGGTCAATGACGATAGCTAATGGTCTGACATACTGACCAAACTTAGATTCTTTCACAAACTTCTTGTTAAAGATAACATTAACATTTGAAGCATTATTGAACTCATTCTTGATGGCATTAGCGAGAGCATTGTATGAAAAGAACTTGCAATCTTGCATGTGTTTCATTATAATAAAAAGTTCGAAATATTTTAAAACTAGCCTTAAAAAATCTAAGCTAATTTTTTTCTAAGAAATTTTTTTATTTCCTACTAAAGATGTATCGGAAGTTGTCTAAGTTAGAACACTCGGAAATAAAACAACTTCTTACAGAAGCTAATATAGATGTTGCAAAGCATTACGCAACAAACAAAAAGGCACTCGCTGACATCCTCAATGACTACAATGGTGAAATAACTTATGATAGAATTCATGAGTTCATAAATGCAAGAGCATTTCCTTTAAATGACGTTGCTATTGACTTATATCATAGACGTTCAATACCTCATGAAGTAAGAAGAGAAATGTTTGACATAACAAATGCAAACGTTGGTGAAACAAGAAGAAGAGACGACACACTGAAACAACAGAGAAGAGAGATGTTTAAAAGTGCTATAGAACAAGTTCGCAAAGCTAACGATGTCATTCGTTCCATTGACGACAAACCAAAAGAAGGTGAGAGATGGTTAAAGAAAGATGAAGAGAATAGGAAGAGAAATGTGAAGTCTGGCAATAGACTCATTGACTTTAACATCGAAGCTTTAGATGAACCAAACAGAGACTATTTACACAAACATTTCGGTAAGGTTTTCATGAGACTCTTAGAGACGATTAAAATAAACTCCCAACAAAGATGGATGGTATGTTATAAACTTGGTGGAAAGTATGAATGTTCTACGTTAAACCTCAATAATATTGGAACATTACTACATCAGCTCTTGAAGGAGAACTTTATATCAGAGATAGAAGCAAATGCCGCAGGTATTGTTGAAATGCACTATGACTTCTTCTTGACAAACATAAAGAATCTTACTGAAATAAAGATGTATGATTTAACTGAATATGAAGGCTTAACGATGTCAGATGTTAAGAAAGGCAAACCAAAAAAGAGACCATATAGAGATGAAAGCACACTGACAAATGACCAGAAAGCCATTTTGGAAGCTCTTAAGCAAACAGGAAACCCAGCACTTATAGAAAGCTTTTGGAAAGATAATGGTGAAAAGAAGTTTTATAAGAAGAGAAGCGGTCAGTTCTGGAAGTATCTTTGCACATTACCTATAAATCTTGAACGCTACCAAATCTTCAATGAACTGAACAAAAGAACTGCAACACTTATGACAGAAGACAATTGTTTCGTTTATGCTTGCATTCAGGCTGGAGTAAATGAAGAAACTATTGACCACATGAGAGAAGTCATTCGTGTTAGAGACTTTCCTCAAAGTAAAGTACAAGAAATTTCCGATTCAACAGGTATAGCATTTAATGTTACCATTGGTTATTTCAATGACTCAAGACATAATGAAATAAAGAGATACATACCAAAAGAATGTGAAACTGTTAGAACTATTGACTTACTTCTTGTTGAAGACCACTACATGCTAAACGAAAGATTACCAATGACAACATATTTCATTCGCAACTATATAGAAATCTTGAAGGAGTGTGGTGGAATGAACATTGAAAAACAAATGAAGATTTATACAAAGAGAGAAGATAAATATGTAGTTCGTTATGATAGAACAACACCGTTATGGGATGTTATGAAAACATTGTGGGAGTGCAAATATTTCGAACCTATTTCTTATGGAGAACTTTTCACATATACGACTGACTTATATAAACAGAACCTTGCACCATTTAAAGATTTGACATATGCTCCAAAGTATTGTGTACAACTGAAGAAGAAAGCAGAGTCAAAAGAAGTAAATAAAAATAAGTGCAAGTTCATTCCTGAGCACGTTTTCTTTGCTGATTTTGAGTGTAGTACGGATGGCTTTCATAAAGCTTTTAACATCTGTTATGACAGTGAAGATGGTTCAGTGAGTGAAAGCATTTGGGGTCAGAACTGTGCAACAGAATTTTTGGAACGACTTCCTAACAAGAGTTTAATATATTTCCATAACCTCAGTTATGATATAAACTTCATCTTAAGACACATGACAGAAGTGAAAGGAACTCCCATCATTAAAGGTTCACGAACAATGCAAATAACTGGCTTATATAAAGGAAGGACAATTATTATAAAAGACTCTTACAGTGTTATAAATAAGAAGCTTAAACTATTTCCTGCTATGTTTAACTTACAAACAGGACCGAAAGAAGTATTTCCATACAACTACTACAGCAGTGTTTTGTTAGCAAATGACAACAGAACTGGTGTCATTTCTGAAGCATGTAAGTTTATCCGGGATGCAGATACATTCATGAAAAACATAGATTCCATCAAAGGTTGCAGAATAGATGAGAACCACTTCGACTTAGAAAAATATAGCACATTCTATTGCAAACAAGATGTAAGAATTTTAAGAGAAGGTTTTGTTAAGTTCCGCAATGACATATTGAAAGAATTTGATTTAAACGTATATGACTACGTTAGTATTTGTTCTATTGCTAACAAATTATTTGAGAACAGAGTGTACTTCCCGAATGGAAATTTATATGACCTCTCAAATAAACCAAGAGAATTTATTTCGAGATGCATTCAAGGTGGAAGATGTATGCTGTCAGATAACATGAAACAAAAGAGCGAAAAGAAACTCATTGCTGACTTCGATGCTGTTTCATTATATCCCTCAGCTATAGCAAGACTTTATACTTTAGAAGGAATTCCAAAAGTATTGAAGGATGAGATGTTAAGCACAGAGTATCTCATGAGACATTTATTCGATGATGACCAAAAGGAACCCATTGGTGAAAAGTTTATGTCTGGCTTCTTTGTTCTCATTAAGATAACAGAGATTGGAATACATAGACACTTTCCTTTAATAGTTTGTGACCCTGAACTAAATCCAGAACTTAACGTTCCCAGAAGTTCAAACACTTGCTGTCTCATGTATGTTGACCATATAACATTACAAGACCTCATAAAATATCAAGGTGTCAAATGTGAAGTGTTGCAAGGATACTATTACGATGGAAACAGAGATATTAGAATAAGAGATGAAGTAAAGAAGTTGTTTGAGTTAAGGTTAAAGTATAAGAAAGAAGGAAATCCTTTGCAAGAAAATATAAAGCTCATTCTGAACAGTATTTATGGCAAAACTATTCTATCTCCTATTGAGTCAAAAATAACCATAGTAGATGACAAAGATGCTATAAGATATGCCATCAGAAACTACAACCATATAGTGAAGTTCGAAGGATTGGATGGTTCAGATAAAACTATTTTCAAGCTAACGAAAAGCATTTGCAGACACTTTAACTTCTGTCCACTTGGTGTAAATATTCTATCAATGTCGAAGAGAATAATGTGTGAAGTATTCTGTACTGCTGAAGACTTAGGAATGGACATCTTTTATAGCGATACCAACAGTATGCATCTCTACAATGAAGATATCCCTCGTTTAGCTGAAGAGTTTGAGAAACGTTATGGAAGAGTTCTCATTGGTAAAAACCTTGGTCAATTTCATAGCGACTTTGCAGAAATAACACCTGGAAAACAAAGTTTAGCATACAAGTCAATATTTTGTGGAAAGAAGACTTACATAGACTTACTCACGAATGATTTAAATGAAGTTGCATTTCACTGCAGAATGAAAGGCGTGAAGCAAGATGTTATTGCTTTAACCGCTAATGAAATGTTTCCTGACTCTGTTCAGTGTTTCTATGATGAAGATAAAGGTTTAATGGTTCCGCAAGGAACATATGACAAAGACTCTGAGTTCAGTTTAATGAAACTTTACAAAGCACTTTATGACGGTCAAGAGATTGGATTTGACTTATGTAAGTCATGTCAACCTTGCTTTGAAGAGAAGTTTAACTTTTCTATTCAGACTAAGACTTCATTCATAAGAAAGCTTAAGTTCTGAGGTCATGAATGAGAAAAATAATGAGGTCATTTATTTTTGTCAGCAATGAGGTCATTCGTGATAAAAATAAAACTAGCGGCAAGGGCGAAGCCCATGTGGTCATTTACAATACTGCGATGGTAGAGTTTAAGAGTTGTGCTTCAATGTAGAGACAGTCCTTATGGTCTGGAGGTAAGAACACTGGGCAGTTATGGTCATGAGTGGAGAACATGTCTATCCAAAACTCACGATTGAAGCCAGTTAATTTATAGTATTTAGGGTTAGGAAGTGGTGAAGTTCTTGTATGACCAATGAACTCATTTTCAACTCCCTTACTTAAGTTTGAATATAATATAGCTTGCTTTCTATCCCAAATGCCAGGTGTTACAATCTTTGAAAATTCATTTTTCCTCGGAAGCATTGCATCATAATTGAAAACATTCTTGAAATCTTCATTGGGTTCAGAGATTTGAAACTTATACGTAATGGATTTTCTTTCTCTTTAGCGACTTCATTGAATGGTGAATATATAACAAACTGACAGTCATGAGTTCCATCTTCATTTTCATTAAATTCATAATGAAAGTCTATAAGTTGTGGCTGACTACCTTCTTCTTTCAGTTGTGCAAGAAACTCACGTAAAGGCTGTAAAGTTTGTACTTCAATGTTGAACTTTTTCTCGAACATCTCATTAAATGAAATCATACATTGCAACAATGTTGTATCGTCTTTAAAGTATTTGTATATGTGAATGTTTTGGGCGCTTAAAGACTGTTCGTCATTTTCTATCTCGACTTGAAGTATAAAGTCAACCTTTCTGAAAGCACGTGTTATATACATAGATGTTATGCCAATGTACTTCTCTTCATTTATGTTCACAATCCAGTCTGTTGGAAACTTAAACGTTACTCTGTTCCCCTTTATTTTGACGTCAGGGTTTTCACTACTGAACGCAACAGTTAAAGGTATTTGTCTATACATTTAATTCGGATAAAAATAAACCATTTACTCTTTCTTTGCTTCAGCTTCTTTAGCTTTTGTTCTTCCTTTGCTTCTTCTCTCTAGCTTTCTTCGCCAGCAAACGTGGGTTCTTTGTCTTCCAGCAGCTAATGCAGCAGTTGTTTTTCACTAAGTTTTCTCTTTGGTCTCTCTGGCTTTTGTTCTTGTTTTTGTTCCTTCAGTTCGGATAAAATTTGCTCACGAATTTCTTTCTTCAATGCTTCAACATCTATGACCCCTTGGGTCTTGTCCGTAGAGCTTGTCTGAGTCATTTGACTGCAGATAAAAAACAAAATTAAAACTTTAACCGATGTAAAATGAGCTTGTCAAAATCAGAGCGAGAGTCTATTATATTAAATGACGCAAGAGGAATACAACATCCTTTCTATTACGTAAGTCAGAGTAAAGATGGTAAAATATACGTAAGAAAAAGAAAGGTTCCATTAGCGAATGCAGAAAGCGACAACATTAAGGTGTATGGCAAGGGTGAAGTCCACGAAGCCCATATAAAACCTTCTATTCAAACTGAAAAGTCAATAGAACCAGAAGAAAAGAAGCCAGATGTACTTTCAATAACGAACCAAGAGCTTATTGCAAAGTTCGTGAATTTCATTGAAAAACAAACCGAGTCAAAGAACCCTGACCCACCAGTGAAAGAAGTTGAGACAAAAGAGAATGTACAGTTCATTGAAAATGTCAAGAAACAACTTCCACCACGAATGCCAAGAAGAAGAGTGAGAATAATGAAGTAAATAGATATTTTTATCTGAAGTAAATACATGCAGAACGAACAGTTAAACGAATTTACTCCAGCAGAGCATATTCATCAGATTCGCTCATATTTCGATATCATAGACAATGCAGTTCAAATTGGTGACACTAATAGAAAATATTCTGACGCAAAGATTCCATCACAACCTGGAACTGCTAAAGATAACACATGGGTAACATTCAATCTCTCACCTCCTGGTGAAAATATGTTGGACCTTTACAATACATTCATTACGTATAAAATGGAAGGTCAATTTATTGTAGATAAAGAAATTGGTTCAGGTTCCAATAAAACAAACCCACCAGGATTTTGGATTGGTTTCGATGACGCTTTCTATGCAGTTGCTGGATATCAAATCCTTGCAAATGGTCGTATCGTATATTCTCAAGACAACGCAAGAGAAGAAGCATATATAACTTCAAACTCACAAACTACCGAACAAATAAAGAAAGTAGATGTTTTCTCAAAGACTCGACATGAAGATGTATGGAGTCATTCGGGAACATGCAGAACAGGACAAATTGTTAGTGGTCCAATTACAGCAGGAAAATCATTTGATTTTAAGCTTCGTTTAAGAATTCCTGTTAGAAGATTCCTTCCATTAGAAGCTATTCGATTTATTCCAGCTTTTGCAGGAAACATTCAGCTTAAAGTAAAGTTCAGTAGCGACGCCTTACAATGCACATCTATATCTGTAAATGATATCATTGCTTTCAATCCAACTCTTAAAGTTGCATTTGCTTCAGATTCAAATCCACCGACAAATAAATTTGTTCCATGGAATGAACCATTCACTATGATAACGAAGGCAGTAGAAGCTAGTGGAACAGTTACTATTACAACTGTAACCAGCAACTATTTCGAACAAAGATGGATTTTAATGAATGTTTCATTCATCCAAAGTCATTCTCTTTAGACCCTAACATTTATACAGAACTTGTAGAACATTATACAAACGAGGCTTTATGTTTTCCTGTTAAAGTTATGGATTGGATTCCTATGGACGGTTCATTCTCAAAGAATACAGATAGTTCAAGTGCAACATTTACAGCAGCTTATACGCCTATTAATGTTAAAAGTATTTGGGCACTATTTAGAAAGAAAGACAACTATTATGTTAATTTTGAGAACCCTAAGTTTAAATATCTTCAGCTTTCCATGGGAGCTTATGGAAATATGCCTGCAGAACCTGAAAAATCATATGGACCTGTATTTTATGAAATGGTTGCGAACGCTGCAATACAAACAATGATATGATAGGATTTAATGAAGATGTTATGAGGTCATTGGTGGATGATGGTAGTGTGGAACATAAATGGGATAGCTATGACAACACACATTTCTTATGTGGTTTTCCAACAGAAGTGGACTTTTGCTTCCAGCAAGGTCAAACATCTACTGCTCCAATAACATACAAATTGTCTGTTAAAGGACCTATTGAACTAGCAACTGAAAACGTACCAAAGCCACTTATTGGATTTATGAGGGATTGTTGCTTTGCCATTCAGGTAAGACAGTCAGGCATCCCCATAATAAGATTAGATGACTATAACTTAGCACGGACGACAGTGAGGAATAAAGGATGAACGTTTATTTTTAAAGCTTATAAATGAGTTCTTCATCAAGCTCTCGCGAACCTTCACCATCTATGAAACAAACTTTACCAAACGATTATGGAGCACCTATTGAATATTTCTTACGAGCTGCACAATGGCAAAGAGCAGTCTCACCAAGGTTAGGTGTTCCACCAGCTCCTGTCAAAAATAGCATTTGGTCAAGTCCTTATATAAATATGGTCTCCCACTAGGTTTGCTAGCTACAGCAGGAGCAGTTATGATGTTGAAAAGAAATAAAGCAAATGTTGTAAATAATACTGAAGTAGCTGAAGTTAAACAAACTCCAACACCTTCACAAGCAAAACCTTCAATGACTCCTGAACCTATGGAAGTACAAACTCCTGTTCAAAAGTCAACTCCTAAACCGACTCCAACATTTAAACCAGAACCTACTCCTCAAATAAATCGTAAAACTCCTGCGTTTCCTTACTGAAAAAATAACGTTATTTTTATTTAATATTAAAATTTTATTTGATTGAAATGACGACTAAAGTCACTGAAGCAATGAAACAAAAGTTTTTGGTAGAATACATTAAATCAGGAACTATTCCAGAAGGTTTTTACATTCATACTATGAAGGATGGTAGAGTTCAGTTTAGAAAGATAAAGCAACCATTAGATAGAGAAGGTATATTAAGGAAGATTAAACTTCATGAGGACAACATTGCTGAACTTAAGAAGAAGTTAGAAGAGTTGGAGAAAGGAAGAGAGTTATAAAGCAATGAATTCAACAAGGTTAGAAATGAGGGTAGAAATGAGGTTAGATCTACCCTTCTACCCTAAATTTATTTTTGCGCTATGTTTTCATACGTGTGAGGGTGGTGATATCATTAATTTTTAAGTTTATTTTTATATAAATGACGAAAACTATTGAGATAACAAACTACAACGGTCATGAGTTCAAGAATTTGTTCTTCGTTCCTCGTGAAAATACATTCTATCAGATACGAGGGAGAAAGGGTAAAGTTAGTTTGAGCGTTTATGAAGGAATGAAGAATGGAAAGTTTATACAAGCATACGATACAAACGGTAAACGTGTTTCATTAGCTTTGTCAAAACTTACTAACATTTATTTTGACAGTGACTTTGACCTATATGAAGAAGAAAGTGAGTCAGAAGATTATGAGCTGTTATGTGAAGCACAGCAATGGGAGGAGTTGCAATACTTTTGTAAGTGAGAACGTTTATTTTTACATTAATGAAGTCATTAGTGGTTGGCGGTTTGTAAATATTTAAGGTTAAGTTAGTGTTGTCGTTTGTGTTGTAAAATATACGTTAACGGTTTTGTAAATATTTAAGGTTAAGTGGTGTACGGAGGCGCGCAGTGCCTCAGTACACGACTTAGGTATACTAACTAATAATCCCGTATTTTTGGGATCAACTTCAGAAAATACTATTGATGTATCAATCACTCTTCCTAATCCGAAATCATCTTCCCCTGTGACACTTCTCGCTTTATATGAATTAATTACAGGAAATGAAATAGATTCATATCCTAGATATATCGCAATCAAAATTTTTCCAACTTACAAGTTTGATTTCGATATCATTGAAATGAATACTACAAATATACGTGTGAATCTGAAATTGGATTATAATTATCGTTCTAATTACACAATCAAATATGTAGTATCTACTAGCAAAGTTTCTGCAAGATCCAGCTTCACAAAACTACAAGAAAAAGCTACAGAAACAGAGCAGCAATTAGATATTAGTCATGATTCAAAACCCGGACATTATTACATTGGAATTAAACTAGAATTTGAAAATGATGAAAACCAAGAACCTTTTGTTTCAAAAGAAATCGACTTTGAGAAATCATTGTCTGCATTATCAATTGGTCGCCGAACATTGACTGATGGCGGTTACTCGGCTAAGCAAGGCTACACAGTAATACTCCAGCCAATGGCTGAAAATTCAAATACTCATGTATACGCAAAGTTCGGAAATAATCAGTTCACATTTTTCAAGAATAATACTATTGGCATTAATTTCAACGAAAGTGGTGTCATTTATGTCAATGGTAGTGCTAATATTAACTGTATTGTCATGTCAATATCCAGTATTAAGAACGATGATTCTGTAATTATGATTGGAAATGGCGAATTTAGTGCTGGAAATATGGAAAATGTTGATTTTAATATGGAAAGTGCTAAAAATTATTTATTTGTTCTTTCATCATTTGATGGAAAAGGCCAATCATCTTTGGATGGAGATATCGATGAAGACGCATTGGAACTCGTAAGATACAATGCAGATGGTACAAAAATAGTTAATTCACAGCCATCAAGAAAGTTATTGGCTGGTTCTTCACAGCCAGACAATATTGACATTTATTCAATGAAAAATTATAATGATGAATACAAGTTCAGTTATAATTTCAAAACAACAAATTCAAATGATAAAGAAAGAATCATAATTAATTCGAAATTCGGAACCCATAATATGGCTTCAGAACCTGATGCAGTCAAAGTACAAGAATCATCTCCTACACCAGGCAACAAAGGTGGTAATACAGCACTCATTGCTGCAGTCGTGGCGGTAATAGTTATTATCGTAATTGTTTGTGTTATCGTCTTCTTTGTGATGAAAAAGAAGAAACAGGCAAAAAGAAATGACTCAGAAGAAGGAGATGTTCATGAAGACGAGTCATTCGATAGAGCCAATGCAGTTTAATTCATTTTCAGTTTTTTTTTTCATATACTTAAATTTCAATAATTTTTACATTTTTTAAAAGTGGACTTACTACATTCTGACATTCTCTCAGTTTTTTTTGCACATTCTTCTGACCAAAAATATTAACTTTTGTAATACAAAATGCAATTTTCACAAAACTTAAGGGTGTACTGACCACTTTCTGATATTCTCTCAAGTTTTTTGACACGGAAGATTTCTATCACAATATTCTAAGGTCAAAAGTTAATATTTTTGGTCAGAAGAATGTAAATATAAATCATTACATATAGGGTGTCCAAAGGTGCGTTTAGCACAGCGCTCTATATGAGACTATTAAAGGAGATATATGCTGATTATAAATATATAATAAAAAATATGAATATATGTATATGATGAGTAAGTTGTATTTTGGCGCCATGCCGGGATATAAAATGAATTTTGAGACAAGAGGCAGTTTCGCGGGAAATTTTGGCGGGATTTTTTTCATTTTTTTAATGAATCATAAAGAAAACATCCTCGCTCTTGCAAAAAAATGCAAAGACTGTAAAAAAATCTACGAGACATTGGTAAAATGCTTCGGTATGGATGCTCCTAGCTATTCCACTGTAACGTATCATGTTCGGATGTATCACTTCATGAACAAAAAGGCGCCCATCATAAAAATTGACAAAAAATCGCCGGATCAAAGAAAAATCAAAGCAATTCTTCAAGCGCTAGATGAAGACCCAAGAGCATCACTCAGAAGGATAGAGGAGATGACAAAGATACCACGTACAACAGTCAGTTATTATCTGCACAATTATTTGAACTACAAACTAGCGTATACACGTTGGGTTCCGCACAACCTTAATTCAGTTCAAAAAAAATCTAGAGTCCAATCTTCGAAAGAGCTCCTCTCTATATTGGGTGCGTATCAATCCAAGAAGTTTCGCTTTTTAGTAACAGGGGACGAGTCTTGGTTTCAATATGCAACAGAAGCCAAAATCATGTGGATCCCGAAGGATGAAAATCCGCAAACATTCCCGAAGAAAAAAATTGACACACCAATGATGATGTTGTCGGTTTTTTGGGGCGTGAATGGCATCATCGCAATTGATATTCTTCAAAAACCTAATACGATGAATGCTCAGTATCTAATTGACAATGTTCTTACTCAAATTATCAATTCTGATGAGTTTGAGAAATCCAAACAACAAAAACAAAAGTTTGCAATTCATTTTGATAATTCAAGAGTTCACAAAAGTCATAAGGTAATGAATTACTTGGTGGAAAACAATGTCAAAGTTGTTCCAAACCCAATTTATTCACCTGATATTGCACCCTCTGACTTTTATTTATTCGGCACGCTAAAAAAGAGAGCTGAAGGACGCGAATTCGCGAGTCCAGATGATCTTGAAAATTTTGTAAGAGAGCAATTTGAGCAATTTTCTCATGATGATTTAAAGCGTGTCTTTCAAGCCTGGATCGATCGCTGCGAACGCGTGATTGAATCCAATGGTGATTATATTTAAATAAACTTTATATATATGTAACTTGTTTATTTCTATTCGCAGTATTCAGGTTTGTGCTAAACACACCTTTGGACACCCTATATAACATAATATGGCTGCTATACTTTTTTGCTATTAAACTAAAGATATATTGATTTTTTGATTGCATGTCAGAATGTGGTAAGTGCACCCTTAAATGAAAAAAAAAGTTATACTAACAACTTTATCCAAATATCCTATATAAGCTATTACTTCGTACACAATCTCCCTTAAATTAGTGCTATCAAAGTGACACTATTCGCAAAACAGCATCCTTATCTATTACAAAATCATTGAAATACATGACAATAAAAACAGCATATGATAAAACCATTGAAACATTATTTCCATTGTAAAAAAAACGATTCTTTAAAAGAAGTTGAATAAATTATACAATTCATTCAGAAATCAAAACATGCACGGACATGAAATAATTACTGAAAATTTTTTTGAAAGATATTATATTAAAAATATGATATTTAATTGTTAAATCAAGTAAAATAGAAATAGAAGATAGATAAACAATCATGATCAATTCAAATATAAGCAATTACTCACATTCTTTAAACACGGTCATTTTTCCACAAGATTTTGTCGTTTTCCCAAATCATGATCCTAACCAAGATCAAGCTTCTAATTATTACAAAAAAAGGATGAAAATAATGGAGAAACGATTGGCAATTTGGAATCGATACTTTGAAAAAGAAAAATGCAAAAAAGTAGTTTTTAGTCACTCGTTTTTCGAAAGATTTAGGAATAAAAAATAAATAACTTAACTTAGATGATACTGCAAAGCTATTCTTCAAAATATTAATCTCTCATTACACTTCCAAATTTTTTTTAAATTGAGAACTTCCGAAACTAACGCTCCTCTAATTTCTTTTGGATAGTGATCGGGAAGGCGTTTTTTATTATTATTATTTTTTTAACATCTCAATTCTGAATTTTTCTATGGTGTAAAATTTTTTTGAATTCTTCAAGTTTTCCAGTTTCTTTGATTTTATATTATAATGAGAGTTTCTCAATTTCATTGATTTTAAATTGAAACTAATTCAATTTTTTCCCTTTTTTAGGAATAAATGTTTTTGCTTTTTCTACCTATATTTAGTCGCCACGAAATTCAATGCGAGCAAATTACATCCCTTCTCAAGTTTGACGAAGAGAATTCACTAACTTGTTCCGGGCTATCTCCAGAAAATACTTATGAAATATCATTAGGGCGAAGACAAGCAGCATTTTTTTAAGTACAAAAGTAACAGCCACCTTTATAGGCCCAAATATTTTGAAATTCAATATTACACAAAAAGAAGAATTCACTTCTATGGCCTTATATGAATCAACACACAACGTATTTTCACAAACAATCAGGTGTAATGGGAAGCCAATAATATCATCTATTGAAACTTATAATCGGCAGCCATTTCTAGGCAAATGGCTACCATATTCTATAAATATTATCAAATTTGATTTGACTTACTATGGAAAAGGAAATAAAGAATATGAAGCAGCCATTGCAGACAGTCCAAATGGAAGCGAGAATTCGTTTACAGATAACAAAATTATAGTTAATAGTTTAAATGGCATAAATTACTTTTTCATACCAAAAACTTTAACATTTGGCGATCATTATTTACTATTTCGTGTTCATATAATTGATGGAGAAACAGATATTGTTAGCGATACATTCACAATGCCTATTCATATTATTCCACATCCACAACCTGACAGAATTTTTGCGGAAATAACAGATAGCAGTTTCAAATTTAATTCACTTAATCCTCCAACTTTCAATGTATATTGCAATCCTTCAGTTCCTCATTTTAAAGTATATTATAAGGTGGGTTCATATTCATCAAATTTACAACATTATACATACATCAATGAATACGATGGTCCACTTAGAAATTTTATTTATTTTCCAACAGGTCGATTAAATATATCAAGATATTTAACAAAAATTCAAGATAAAGTAACTTTTATTATGACAGATGCTACAACATCAGAGATTTTAAATTACACAGAATTTACAAATGTTAGAATAGTACCAGATCTCAGAAGCGAAAGTGTTATATTAACAAACAAAGAAAAGGTGTATATGAGATACTTTTTCCAAAACCAAGAAGTTATTACAGGTAGAGTTACATTTGAAAATGAAGTTGATGCAGATGAACTGAAATTTTCTTACAATGGAGCTATTCAAGCTTTTAAACCATATGGAAATTCAAAAAAAATTATCGAATTTAGTATTCAATTAACAGTTGATGGATCAACAAATTATATTGAACTTATTTTCCGTCAATGTGGTGAATTTTCCAGAGAGGAAATTCAATATATATACGTTGATATTAATTATAACAAAAAATACTTACCATTATCATCAACAGGTGGAATTAAAGGAACATTACAGATAACACACAATGCTATATATGGTTATGATTTCAAAACTGTTGCAAAATTGGGTGGCAGTTCTATGTTCGCAGAGGACTATAACGTTGAATTAATTGCTGATACTCCCCATAGCTATTCCGTTCAATTGAATAATCAAATTAAATATGTCTCAGAAAACTATAAAGACATATCGCAAGTTACTTTTGCAGCAATTATGCAAAATAAAATTGTTGTCTCAAAAACTTTTGATATTACTATTGTTGCAGCAGGACTGTTTATCAATTCAATTTCTGACATTAGTAGTACACATACTTACAAAGCTGGTTCAAGAATGTTACTGAAAATTGAAAGTATTGAACCAAAATGCATGCAAGATACTTATTTTAAATATAAATTTGAGGACGATGTAACCAAAGAAACTCCTTTGGATATAAATAATTCACCAATACTTAAAATCGAGAGACTTACACAAGATGCAGAAAACGAAAATGAATTTATTCTTTCATTTATAATTCCAAGTACAGTAACTGTTGGCCAAAAGAAATTATTGTTACAGGCAACTAATCCAATTGAAAGCACTTCAGCTGTAATTCCTATTGATCTAACAATTGAAGAAGGATCGGAAATAACACAAAGCTCAATTGATTGTAGAGCTACAGAAGATTCATATGGATCAGGACATAATCTATTGTTCAAATGTAACATTAATAATATTGAAAGTTCCGAAGTTACATATAAAGCAAAATTAGGAAATCATGATTCAGCAGCTGGTTCTTCACAATACGACCTTAATGTGAGAATGGAAGCAGTTGGTACCACAAATGAATTTAATGTTTATGTATATATTTCCACCCAAACTGTAGAGCAAACAACAATTTCATTTGCAATGATTAAAACTGATTCGTCTGCATCGATAATAAATTATTGCGAAATATCAAACCTCAAAATATGCGCAGTTCCTGATATTGAGTTAGATTATCCACGTTATTTTTCAGAAACAGGTTCAATAGCACCTTTTGATTTCAAACTCAAATATATTGGTGATTTTAATACAATGAAAGTCCAATTTAAGAATGAAGGTGATGAGGCTTTCGAAGATGCATTCTCAGTTTCTAGTTTAGATGAGAACAACTTTTTCTCTGTAAAAGTTAGGGTACCAAGAACAAGAATTTATTTCAAATTTATTGATAAGTTTAATAATTCCGTAGGAGTACAATGTTTCATTGATACAAATAGATTTTCAGATGCATCTGATGAGCTCACTATTCAAGACTTAAAAGATGAATATCATGAAGGTGATGAAGTTACAATCAAATGGTCCCCATCTATAAGTAGATTAGCTTATAGAGCACGTGATTTCTATTTTGTAGACTATACTGGCAATAGTCAAAACAATATATTATTGGCATCAACTACTGGAGAAACTGTTGAATTCAATCTAACTCTTCCTAATCCAAAATCATCTTACCCTTGCACACAAATCACAATTTTTATCTCAAGTAAAGCCGATCCTATTCGTTCATATGTAACTTACTTAGGCATTAAAATTATTCCAACTTTCAAGTTCGATTTCGAAATTGTTGAACTGGATCTCACAACTATAGATCCAAGGTGAAGTCATTTTTCTATCCCTGGGATAGACGATACACCCAAAATGTCACCTTTTTGGGATTCTGTTTTTTTTTAAGGTTCTCGCTGGCGACCCCCCACGTTCGTCGAAAAAAAATTGGTGATTGGGGGTCGCCAGCAAAAATCAATTTTTTTTCGACGAACGGGGGGTCGCCAGCGAGAACCTTAAAAATAAACCTCTGAAATTTTAAAAAAGAAAAAAGTGTGAAAATCCCCTTGAATCGAACCAATGGACTTTACGATTATACTATACTTTACGTAAAAATATATGTATATCTCATTATTACATCATTTAATATATTTTTAGTTAAATAGTCACTATTTTCACAATTTTTATTATTAATTACTGAACTAAACAGGTTTTAAATAGAAAGAGTATAAAAGATAAGTGTTTTTCTACATGTGTTTCGATAAGAATTATAATAATTGATGGTTTTTACAGCCAAATTTATTTTATTATTTAAATTTCAATGAAAAAAGATAAGAATTTTTTAATAAAAATTTTTATTAAGAATTTTTTTGTAAAATTGACACTGGGATGACGATAGGGATGGGATCTTATCCACCCCGTTCATTTGGGAAAATTGCAGATCTATACTCACAACATTAAGTGTCAATCTGAAATTGGATGCAAATTATATATATAGTTATAACGTAAGTTACATAATATCATCAAATCAAGTTACAGAAAGTTCTAATTTGATGCTATTACGAGAAAACATGAGCGGTACTCCACATCAAATAGATATTGAACACAATTTACAATCCGGAAATTATTACCTGGGAATTTTATTGGTGTTTGAAAATTCTCGGCAATATTTAGTTTCTAAAAAGTTCAACTATGAGTAGGGATGCGACGGTTTTACGCCATGACCGTTTAAAAATAGAATAATACGCCATTTTTGGGGCCGAATGGCGGGTACGAAGTAGCCGCCATTCGGCCGAATAACAAAACAATACAAAATTATCGCCGTCCTTTTTTTTCTCTCTCTTTCTTTTCTCTTTCCTCTTTTTACTCCTCTTTCTCTTTTCATCATTAAACGTAGAAAGATATATTAATATTATTTTAAAATTAAAAAAAATAAAGAAAGTATAATAAGTAATTATTTAGTTATCGATATATATATATATGTAAAGTGATAATCTGAGGATAATCTGAGGAGGAGTCTGAGGATTAGACCGAGGAGTAGTTTGAGGAGTTTGATGATAATCTGAGGAGTTTGAGGAGTAGTCTGAGGAGTTTGAGGAGTAGTCTGAGGAGTTTGAGGATAATCTGAGTAGTTTGAGGATAATCTGAGGAGTTGTCTGATGAGTAGTTTCAGGAGTTGTCTGAGGATAATCTGAGGAGGAGTTTGAGGATAATCTGAGGAATTTGAGGAGTAGTCTGAGGAGTTTGAGGATAATCTGAGGAGTTTGAGGAGTAGTCTGAGGAGTTTGAGGATAATCTGAGGAGGAGTTTGAGGATAATCTGAGGAATTTGAGGAGTAGTCTGAGGAGTTTGAGGAGTAGTCTGAGGAGTTGTCTGATGAGTAGTTTCAGGAGTTGTCTGAGGATAATCTGAGGAGGAGTTTGAGGATAATCTGAGGAGTTTGAGGAGTAGTCTGAGGAGGAGTCTGAGGATTAGACTGAGGAGTTTGAGGATAATCTGAGGAATTTGAGGAGTAGTCTGAGGAGGAGTCTGAGGATTAGACTGAGGAGTTTGAGGAGTAGTCTGAGGATAATCTGAGGAGTTTGAGGATAATCTGAGCATAATCTGAGGAGTTTGAGGATAATCTGAGCATAATCTGAGGAGGAGTCTGAGGATTAGACTGAGGAGTTTGAGGAGTAGTCTGAGGATAATCTGAGGAGTTTGAGGATAATCTGAGCATAATCTGAGGAGGAGTCTGAGGATTAGACCGAGAAGTAGTTTGAGGAGTAGTCTGAGGAGTTTGAGGATAATCTGAGGAGGAGTCTGAGGATTAGACTGAGGAGTTTGAGGAGTAGTCTGAGGATAATCTGAGGAATTTGAGGATAATCTGAGGAGGAGTCTGAGGATAATCTGAGCATAATCTGAGGAGGAGTCTGAGGATTAGACTGAGGAGTTTGAGGAGTAGTCTGAGGATAATCTGAGGAGTTTGAGGATAATCTGAGCATAATCTGAGGAGGAGTCTGAGGATTAGACCGAGAAGTAGTTTGAGGAGTAGTCTGAGGAGTTTGAGGATAATCTGAGGAGGAGTCTGAGGATTAGACTGAGGAGTTTGAGGAGTAGTCTGAGGATAATCTAAGGAGTTTGAGGATAATCTGAGCATAATCTGAGGAGGAGTCTGAGGATTAGACCGAGAAGTAGTTTGAGGAGTTTGAGGATAATCTGAGGAGGAGTCTGAGGATTAGACTGAGGAGTTTGAGGAGTAGTCTGAGGATAATCTGAGGAATTTGAGGATAATCTGAGGATTAGACCGAGAAGTAGTTTGAGGAGTAGTCTGAGGAGGAGTCTGAGGATTAGACTGAGGAGTTTGAGGAGTAGTCTGAGGATAATCTAAGGAGTTTGAGGATAATCTGAGCATAATCTGAGGAGGAGTCTGAGGATTAGACCGAGAAGTAGTTTGAGGAGTAGTCTGAGGAGTTTGAGGATAATCTGAGGAGGAGTCTGAGGATTAGACTGAGGAGTTTGAGGAGTAGTCTGAGGATAATCTAAGGAGTTTGAGGATAATCTGAGCATAATCTGAGGAGGAGTCTGAGGATTAGACCGAGAAGTAGTTTGAGGAGTAGTCTGAGGAGTTTGAGGATAATCTGAGGAGGAGTCTGAGGATTAGACTGAGGAGTTTGAGGAGTAGTCTGAGGATAATCTAAGGAATTTGAGGATAATCTGAGGATTAGACCGAGAAGTAGTTTGAGGAGTAGTCTGAGGAGGAGTCTGAGGATTAGACTGAGGAGTTTGAGGAGTAGTCTGAGGATAATCTGAGGAGTTTGAGGATAATCTGAGCATAATCTGAGGAGGAGTCTGAGGATTAGACCGAGGAGTAGTTTGAGGATAATCTGAGGAGGAGTCTGAGGATAATCTGAGGAGGAGTCTGCGGATAATCTGAGGAGTAGTTTCAGGAGTAGTCTGAGGACTAGTCTCAGGACTAGTCTGATGAGTAGTCTCAGGAGGAAGATCTGAGGAGGAGTCTTATGAGGAAGATCTGAGGAGTAGTCTGATGAGGAGGGGTCTAAGGAGTAGTCTGAGGATGATGAGTAATCTGATAAGGAGTAGTCTGAGGATGATCTGAGGATAACCTGATGACTAGTCTAGGAGTGGTCTAATAAAAATGTAAAATATTTTCAAAGAAAAAATTCTATGAATTTTATATTTTAATTCTTAGCATTATACTAAATAAAATAAACATAAATATCAAAATTTGAAATTGAACACGCCAAAAAATTGATAATCCACATTCAATATTTTGTAAGTGGCGTACTTTTTGAATACTCGCCATACGCCTTGGAGTTCTCAATTTTGAATTCGCCTTTATTTGGGCGACCTCAGAAAAATACGCCATTAAGAAAATATTGTATGAGATTTTAAATTTGAACACGCTCTACCTTAAGGAATTAAATTTATTAAGATATATTTATATATAATAAACGATTACTTAAAAAAAGTATTTCATCGCTTATGTAAGTTTCAAAAAAATCACGAAAATAAAAAAATCAAGATTAAAATTTTATTTTTAATTTTTGAATTTCTCAAATGGCGAAATTTTTGGGCGAACAAAAAAAAATGTACGCCCGGTCAAATGGCGTGTTTAACGCATCCCTACTATGAGAGCGATATTAATGCATTATTGCCTGGTCTTCATGTATTGAAAGCAGGTATATATGCGTTCAAGAAAGGATATACAGTTTTACTCCAACCACCAGCTAAAATGTCAAAGACAAATGTCTATGCAATGTTTGGAGGAGAAAAGTATACATTGCTTAAGAATAACATTATTGGTATTGAATTCAATGAAAGTGGCTTTATTTATGTTAATGGTAAAGCAAGTATTCAATCAATTGTTGTGTCAGTATCTAAACTTAACACCGATGATACCCTATATTTGATTGGAAGAGGTGAATTACGCATTGGAAATATGGAAAATGTTAATTATACAATTGAAAATCAGAAAAATTATTCATTTGTTCTTTCATCATTTGATGGAAAAGGTCGATCAAGAATGGATGGAGATGTCATTAACGAGTCTATAGAAGTTAAAAATTACAAAGCTGATGGCACGAAGATTGTTAATGAAGAATCATCAAGAAAGTTATTGGCCGAGGCTTCAAATCCAGATAATATTAGTGTATATTCAGTACAAATTACAAATGCAGGTTACAAGTTCAGTTATAAATTCAAAACAATGAGATCAAGAGACAAAGATTCAATCATAATTAATTCACAATTGGGAACTCATTTTCTGGCTTCAAGACCTGATTCATACACGGAAGATGAAACTCCAACTCCAACACCAGCTCCTACTTCTGAATCGGATGGTTCTAAAAATGGCAGTATTAATCCTGCGAAGTTAACAGGCATCGTTATCGGGTTAATTATTGTTATAGCAATTGTTTGTGTCATTATTTTCTTTGTTCTGAAAAAGAAGAGGCAAGCAAAGCACAATGACTCAGAAGAAGGAGATGTTCATACAGATGAGTCTATGTACAGCTATGAATCAGCATAATTCAATTTTATTTTTTTTTATTTTGTGACAGACATAAATTAACATATCTGAAATGGTCTTCTTATTCAATCTTCAATTAATCCATATAAAATTATACAAAAAGTATCATCTTTCTTCCAGATTATTGAATTCAAAATCAAATATAATTATATTTCCACATTAATCATAAATGGAGATAAAACCAAAATTGAACATGTCAAAAATCTACAATAAAAATCAATTTTCAGTCAATTCTATCGGCGCGAAGCGCCGATAGAATTAAGACAGTGTATATAGTGGTTTCGTCATTGTGTCATTTCACTTCACGAAAAAAGTCTGAATGAACCAAGTCTAACATAATGTCCAGTAATTAATATCTGATGTAATTATTGTAATAAACAGAAATTCATCAAAAGTGACAGCTCTCAATTTTTTGACATTTGTAAATTCTAAATTGAATGAGAAAAATGAAATAATACTAAGCATAATACAATATTCTAGATTTAATTATAATTAGGAAAAAGTTAGTTTTGAGAGTACTTTTCATAGGCATATAGAATGAAATCTTCTGAAAAATAATATCACATAAACTCATATTATTTTCTAATATCTAACTATTTTATATAAAAATCAAATTCAATGATCTTAAAAGCGAAGGATAAACCTCAAAATTTACGAATATAATGAGTGGGAATATAATGCTTATCTATCATAAAACCATATGAAATATCAATTTTTGCTTTACGCCTAATTTTTGACGACAATTAGCAAAAAATGTTAAATGTTAACACTCAGTCCATTTGAATATGAAAAATAAAATTGACTTTGATTAAATGTTTTTATTTATCATGCAATTCTTCTTGCGACCAAAGATTTGAATAAAATTTCAAAAAATAAGATAGCTTAAAAAATAATATACGGTAGTGTTTACTAATAGATGAATAGTATATAAATTCTATTAAAATGGATTTGATCCAAAAAAATATATAAAATTTGATCATAAATAAAATCGTTTTAAATTACTTCTTCATTTAAATTATAACAATTATTTTTGATTTTTATTTATCATCCACATTCAAATTTGAATCTTATCACAAAAGAAGGACCACTTTTATGACTACTGCCAAATCTATAAGCAGAGAATGGCTATTTGAAGCTAAAAGAAGAATAGAAGAAGGTGAATCTTACAAAAGTGTGGGAAAGGAAGTTGAATTGGAAAATGGTAAAATTAAATTGAATGTTGCCGAAAATACAATAAGAAGAGCATTTCAACTTCAAGAAATCGAATTACCAAAAGTTAGTCGCGGCAGAAAACCAAATCCACCAACATTTGAGCAAAAACAATTAATTAATTCTTGTGTTTCACAATATAAAGGAGGAATTTCAAAAACTTATTTATTGATTAAAAGGTTTCAAAATATTGCTCAAAATCCCGATTGTGAGAAAGAAAAAGAAGAAATTGCAAAAGAATTTGAAAATATAGAAGATTTGACAAAAGATCAAATTTTTGACAATTTACAAAAAATAAAGCATCATCAAGTGGAAAAATTTATGATGGAATCAGGTTTATCTTCAAAAAGAGATTACAAACCAGCAGATCCACCTACCAAATATCGTGCCATATCAAAGAATTTGATATGGCACTGCGATATTCATTACCTTCACGGTAATGTTTCTTTTCCATTTTTTGCCATATTGGATGATATGACACGTAAAGTTCTCAAAACTAAATTATTGAAAAACAAGTCTTCCAACTCAACAGCGAAGGTTTTAAGAAAACTTTTAGAGGAGTTTATTCCTTACTGCATCTGGACCGATAACGGCGGTGAAAACCGCGGTGAATTCGGCCAGGTTATGCAGGAAAACGGAATAGTTTGGAAGCACACCTTGCCGTATATGCCAAGACAGAACGGCAAGGTGGAGCGCCTGTGGCCAAGCTTAGAAAAGTTTTTGCCAGACGAGTTGGATGATATTCAACAAATCAAGGACTCAGTTCAGCAGTTCATTGAAAAATACAACAATACACCACATTTATCTCTCGATATTAATCCAAAAACGAATAGTAATTACACTCCTAACGAATTATTCGAAGTTTCAAAATTTTGGTACGAGCCAGAAATGCAAAAATGGGAGTTATATATCAAAGACGAATGGGTCTTAGCAAAATTTGAATAATTACATCATTTTAAATGACTACTAAACAATTTTATTTATGATCAAATTTTATATATTTTTTTGGATCAAATCCATTTTAATAGAATTTATATACTATTCATCTATTAGTAAACACTACCGTATATTATTTTTTAAGCTATCTTATTTTTTGAACTTTTATTCAAATCTTTGGTCGCAAGAAGAATTGCATGATAAATAAAAACATTTAATCAAAAAAAAAAAAAAAAAAAAAAAAGGTAGTGGGGCTTCCAGGGGCTGCGCCCCTTCTAGCCCTGAAGATGTTTAGTATAAATGAAGTTTTTATTCTGAAATGTTTGCTTTAATGTTTTTTATGGATGGAAATGAACTGGATATCGTCTGAGTCTTCGCTTGTTTCCTCCTCTTCTTCTTCTTCGTCCGAATTGTCTTCATCTTCACAATAACCAGATAAGAAGATGGTTATTTTGGTTTGTTCTGGTTTTTTGAGAAGCATTTTGGCTGTGCCAGTAAAAACGAACTCAAGATTTTGATAGAATTGTCTGCTTGAGTGAGTGAATTTGCATACTGTAAGTGGCATTGCAACTCGGTTTGCTTGAACAGATATTATTGAAACTTCTTCTCCATCTGGTATCCGTTCAATAATATCTAAAGCGGCTGTTGTTATAATATGCATATTGTTTTCGTAATGCAATTTTGGATATATTTCGAATGGATGTGCAGCTACACCAGCTGGAGCAACAATGGAAAGATTCCAGGAGAAAGAACCGTGTTTGTTTTCATCTTCTTTCCAATTGTAAGTTAAAGGATAAGGACGAAAGTCTTTGAGTGTTTCATATAACTGTTCTCTTAAGTTTGGTTCACAGCAAATAATGAATTCGTCAATTGCTTGAAGAGATATCATAGTTGAAACATAAGGCAAATTCGACAAGAAAAAGTCAACCATTACTGTCGGGTTTTGAACTTTGTTTTCTAATGTTTCGACTGGTTTTATTATACTTTTGAAATATCTATCATAGTCATTGTTGTCTGTTAAGGACAAATTGTTTGGATAATCTGCAATGAGTCTTCTATATCTTGCTTCTGTTGTTGAGAATGAGAAGACACCTTCTGGTTCTGTAGGAGTGTAAGTTTTTAGTTGAATTTGAGCTTCAATTTGTGTCTGATTGGAGTCTGATTGGACTGAAACAACTTGAGCTTCTGTAGTTTGTTCGACTTCGGCAGTTTCTTTTGGTTGAATTTGAGCTTCAATTTGTGTCTGATTGGAGTCTGATTGGACTGAAACAACTTGAGCTTCTGTAGTTTGTTCGACTTCGGCAGTTTCTTTTGGTTGAATTTGAGCTTCAATTTGTGTCTGATTGGAGTCTGATTGGACTGAAACAACTTGAGCTTCTGTAGTTTGTTCGACTTCGGCAGTTTCTTTTGGTTGAATTTGAGCTTCAATTTGTGTCTGATTGGAGTCTGATTGGACTGAAACCTGTGTAACCTCTTTGGACATACTAGTAAAGTATGAGGATATAAGTGTTTGACCTTTAAAGAGCTTTTGTAAAGAATTGTCAGTCATGCTACTACTGTGGTCTTCCATTAGACAAAAATGAACTGACCAGAAGTTTGTGGAAAATGTATATTGAATAAAAACCGTTTTCGTCAACGGTAACCCCTTCTATAATTTTATTTTATTTAATAGTTACCGTTGGAAAACCGTTCCATCTCAAATATTGAATGAACTATAAACGTTTTTTGTTTTCTATATATACTTTTTTGTCCAACGGTAAAACTTTTTACACAACGGTTTTTGAGAGTCGTCGCCGTTGACTTTTTTGTAGAGCACTCAAAATAGTATAACTTTGTCCGGACAAGTAAGGGTCTATCGTCGCTACAGGAAAAGTTACAGGCGTTCCAAGGAAGTATACTTTGAGAAGCCTTTCCCCCTTATAGAATGAGATAGGACGGTTATTTTACAAAACTGACAACACTTTGACCGAGTAGTTTTTTGTGCTGAACAAAAAGTGTCATACAAACATCTGTCAAAAACCGCTTTTTAACTTCACTTAAAATGCCACGTAAGCTACGTAAGAATATACGTAAGAGGAAGAGAGCATTGAAACATCCAATAGTAAAACTGACACCACAACAACAGTTGCAACAACAAATTATGAATGACCCCACTATGTTGCAACAAATGTCAAGCAATCCTATGCTTTTAAACCGAGTTGTTGGTGCACAGAGTGGAGGTTTAAGAGCGGCACTTTTAGCGAAAATGGCAGGCTATGGTGGAGCTGCAGACGGAACAGCCTATAACCCTCAAAGTCAAATGAATTTGAGTTCACTCAAAAATCAAATAGCAGATGTCAAAAAGTCAAACATAGACATACAGAAACAAATAAGTGAAAACGAAAAGAAACTAGAATATGACAGACACACAAAGAAACTCAATGAGTTAAACGTAGAGAAAAAGAAGAAAGAAGAACAACTGAAAGAACTAAGTACAGAGGAATATGCGAAAAAAGTGTCAGAAAAAGCAGCAGAAGTAGCAAAAATGGAACAAGATGTCATAAATTTGAAAAACCATACTACTCAATATAAAGTACTGAAAGATGAAGAGATAAAACAAAAAGCCCTGAAGACATATATGGATAGCGATGAGTATAAAAAAGAAGTTGAAGCAAATGTAAAGGCAGAAAAACTTTTACAGTTGCAAAACCAAACCGTACAGTATGAAAACTTAGCACAAGAAAGTAAAAATAACGACGCAGCCATGCAAAAGGCAATGAAAAGCGCAGAATATATAAAAGCTAACAATGACTGGTTAGATGCCCAAGCCAACGCTAAAGCAGCCCAGCTTATAGGGTCAATAAGGACAAAAATACAAGCGGATGAAGACAGTTCAAATGAAGCTTTAACGAATGCTGACTTTAAGAACGCCTTCGAAGCTCTTCATAGTAAGGTGAAACAAGTGAACGACTTCTCATCTGGAAAGAAACTGAAGTCTGAAGGTTTCGACAAAGAGTTAAGAGAAGTAGCACAAAATATGACGAAAATAACAGATGCAGCAACGAGACAGGCAGTTCAAAGTGCCTATGACTCCGTTAGAGCAACTGTTGTGGAAAGTCAAGAAAAAGAGTTACAACAGACCAAAAAAGACCTAGTAAATGCTTTCTTAAGAACGAAAAGTCAGGTAGGACATTATGCTGCAGATGGAACATATGTGCCAGCTGGTGGAACTTATATACCACCAAACCCTCCAAGAGAAGCACCTGCACCAGGACTACCTAACACATTTACATCGTCACATGGACACAGACACAGGCATGCACCAAAACCAACACAACAACCAACAGTTCAAAACCCTGCACAACAACCAACAGTTCAAAACACTGCACCACAAACAGAGCAAGGACATAAAAGAAGTAGAGAACAAGGAAACCAAGAATTCTTAAAAATGCTTAAAGAAGAGTGTGGTTTCCCAGATACTGTTGACTTTAGTGACAGATATAAAGAAGCTATTGGAAAGTTCAAGGATGGAAATACTGACCCGAACCTATTTAGCTTTATGGCTCAGCACCAAAACGGATATAATCTCAAACCTGGAAAATACAAGCTCGCTAAGGGATATGATTTAATAGCATATCATCCAAATGACATGGATGAATTTACTCCGAGATATTTGATGTCAGAGCTAAATGACAATTCAACTTTCGTCATGAAACGCGTAAAAAATAGAGACGGAACGAAAGAACAAAAGCTTATGAATGCGGATGACGTAGATAGGGAAATTGTTAAAAACGGTCTCGGAATATATGAAATGCCAGCAGATGAGGTACAAGAAACTCCACAGGAAGAAATAGTTCAGATACAACCAGACATGGAAGAAATAGTTCAGCAACAACAGCTAGAAGAGCCTGAAGGAAACGAACAAGTCCTCCTTTGGAAACTAACCTCACAGAACTAGATGAAGATTTGGAACAGCCGAAAAATCTTGACCCTCAACAAGAGTATGCGGAGAATATGGAATATTTCCAAGAGTCTAAAAAAAATTCGGCTGACATAGTAGAAGAATATCGAAAAATGTTTGCCGACATACAAAAGACTCCAACACCAGATGAAAATATTCAGCATAGAATGGAAGAACTGAAAAAAAATGTACACAAATACAACAACCCTTTTTACTTACGAGCATTTAACGTTCAATCTTCGGATGAACTCGGTGAAGATAAAAGGTTAAATTTCAAGAAAACATATAGAAATGAAACATTGTTTAAAGTTCATTCAGAACCTAACCAAGATGGAAACAAACCTACTTTTGTTTCTGCAGACGATGGAACTACAATGAGATGGGGTCATAAAGCTAACCCGGATAGGTGGTTCATAAACTTACAACCACAATTCCAAGAAGTTGTAGACGCAATGGAAGTCAATGGTGAACCAGATATAGCTGGTATTTTAAGCGCGGCTTTAATGCCATTGAAAGATATGAAACATGCAGATATTTTGGACCAGTATGAAATGAACATGGCTGATGGAAATATAACACCTGACGTTCTAGAACATTTATCTCAAAGAACTACACAGAACCATAAAGAGATGGTATATTTGGTGAAGAGTTTAGAAAGAAAGTTAGGGAGAGAGAAGGAAGAGAACCTATTGTACATGACCTTGCAAACGAAAGTTTACAAAATGTCATAAAAACTTACTTTGCAGACAATGAACCGAGAAGGGATGAATATTTAAGAAAACTCAAATGGACAGTACCAAATGAAATGTTAGTATTGAAAAACATGTTCCTTGACAAAATAAAACCAACTACAGAAATAAACGACGCAAGACTGAAAGATTGGGTAAAAGCTTTCCCATTCACAAAAGATATAGTTGGTAACATGGAAAGAAAACCAGAATGGCTACAAAAACATATATTTGGAAACGAGCATATTCCATATGGACAGGCACTGTTTGAAGAGCTTGAACCGGAAACTCAGGAAAGAGTCATGCAAACAATACGCGAAGACTCAAATACAAACTATGACAAACTCTTTCTAGGATTATAGGTTACCTGAGATGGGCGACCAAAGAGCAAAAGGCAAAAGGCATGGAAAATTTGCAACATACTAGATGAACATGCGGCAAAGATGCAACAACTTCAAGCAGAGGGCAATGAAGGAAAAAGAAGAGTTAAAAACTCAGTCAGGAAGAAAGTAAAGCTTGGTCCAGTGGGTTCTATTATGACATTAAAATCCAACTATTCTATATTTTTACTCATATGAATGTACGCGCTCAGAATATATACGCCAACAGTTTTGGATGCTATGAACGGAAATGTTTCCGAATGGTATAACGAATGCGACATGCCATTAGAAGGTCAGAAATAGTTCCTGGAACTTACGAATATACAACTGCTGTTTCTTATGGAAACGTAGGTGAGTTTGGAGAAGGTTCTTCAACAACAGTAGATATTGCTTGCGACAGGTTTCATATAATTTCTATTGACAACTCTTTCTTATACGTGGAACAAGACATTGAAATAAAACCTTTGCCAAGTTGTCTGACAAGAAAGGTTGCAATGGAATTTTCTATGTCGGATACCAATATGCTCCAGAAGTTTTCATGGGATATAAGATATATTCTAACTCTGATTAGTTCAAACAGTAACATGGGCAAACTATGAATGGTTCGCTTTGAGAAACTCAGTAAACCACAAGCTAGAGAACAAAACAGACCAGTATGCAACTATTGAGAAAATAAGAAGACTTGACCCTAAGTTCCAGGAGTTTTATGTTAACCTTTTCTGGACAAACTGCAGCAGCAGTAACCAAAGTAAAACTTGAAACTTAGAGTTCTTTGTCATCTTTCCTCATCTTCAGGTTTTTAAGATACTTGCCAAACTGGGCAGGAAAAATTTCTATCGAACTTACTCCAAGCAAAAACTTAGTCATTGCACAACACAAGACCCATTCACTTTACAGAAGTAGTGGAACAAATAAAATGTCATTCGCCGACTTTTGCAAAACACAAGTTGACTTAGACTTTGGTTTCTCAAACCTCAACATGAAGTAAACTATTATTTCAATGCTGCTGGAGATGCTTGGGACCAGTTAAGTTCACATGCGAAAAATTTTGAATGCAAGAGAATAGAAAGCAGACTTGCAGTCTATATGTTGGACAGATATTTCAAATGCTTTAGCTGCCAAATATATTGCAGTTCCGCTTATGTTCCCTATACACCAAATATCTGTCAAGACTTTGCAGGTGAAGTTGGAAACCAAAGTGCTGACCCAGGTGCAAGAACAGATATTGCTTTAACAACTGCAATGAAACATGCAGATACTATGTTTGTACTGTTTAGACGAACTATAAATGACTATTCTTGCTTCTAACAACCTGGTATTAAATACCATATAAACATAGATGGCAAATATATCCAAGAGAAGAATATTCTACAGTTGAGGATATGAGGTCATACATTGACATTAGATGCTTATGAACTTTAACAACAACTTCACAACAACTATTAACCCTGAAATGCAAAGTTCTATTATGCATATGTGAAGTATGGACTCATACAGGAGGTCAAAAAACTCAATATACAAT